AAAGGCAACCAGTAATGTAGGTTAGGGAAGTAACTTATGTTCATAACTAACAAACTTCTTTAAGTGTAGATAACAATATAATTATTGTTAATTATTGTGGAAGTTGTGTACCAAGGAACAGCTCATGAATGTTTGATAATTTTGGCACATCAGTGAACATGAGACATTAATTTGAATCAAAATAAAAATATTTTTTGATCATGGAATCCAAGAGTCCATTGAGGTTAGATAGCAAATCTGTGATATGAGTACATTGGATTAATTGGCAATTTCCATTTAACATAACTAACTGCTGATTCATGAGAAAATCTATATTAATGTAAAGATTTACTTAAACTTAGTTTGAATAATAAATTTCATGATCTTTAAGTTATAAACATAAACATGTATATATATCTCTTGGTAAGTTTTGTAAAGCATACGTTTTATTGAGCCAAAGTTTTAAGCCTCTGAAATTACTCCTTTTCTTAAAACCTTCACATTCAAGGTATTGAGAATTTCTTAGAATTTATGTGGACCTCAGGGTATTTAAATTGCCTCAAATTCAATTCCCAGAAACTCCCAAGAGTTCCACACTTCTTAAATTATAGGTAGTTTGTATAGCTGAGAATTCCTAGGAATTCCTAGGAATTCCAAGTCCTCACAAAACTGGAGTCTTCCTTTCCTAGAAATTCCCAGAAATTCCCAGTAATTCCAAGCTTTTTAAATCAGAATTAATTTGCATAGTTGGGAATTTTTGAGAATTCCTAGGAATTACCAGAAAACTGGGAATTCAGTTTGCAAGGGTCAATTGCATAATTGGGAATTTTTGAGAATTCCTAGGAATCCCCAGAAAACTGGGAATTCAGTTCGCAAGTGTAATCTGTGTGTTATATCTTTTTGACACAATGTCATGCAATATAGTATCCGAAATGAACTTTCTGTTGCACAGAGAACAGCTTAATAGACCACTTGTATTGTTATGCTACCACACTTCAGTAGGAAAAGCAAGTGAAGTTTGTGAAATGTTTATGACGGCGATGCCTGCGTGTCCCGGGGTGCTTGTTGCAAATTCAATACCTTACAGCACTAAAGAGGCACTTAAAAAATTGGCCTGGTACGCACTGTTTGCGTTTTCTTACCTGGATATGTTGTCCGACATAACGCCGTTCATTACATTCTTACACTAGCACTCCACTATATGTTACCAACTGGCAGCCTGTATGGATCATGAAGCCGCCATTATGGATATCCTCAGCGACCACGCCATATTGGCCCCTCCTCTCCCCTCCCACCTAACCTACCGTTATGGTTGAGTGCTTGGGTGGGGAAGACAGAGTTAGGATGTTTCAAGGCTGAGTGCTGTAATATTTGCATAGTTTCGTTCCCTCGGACGTTGAAAATCGTGTTAGAGACTTTTTAGTATACCCTTTTTAGAGGCATAGAATTGTACGCCAGCCTACTCGTTCGACTCTTACTGATTTTATTTTTATGTTTTCAAAAAACTTACCACCGGTAGGCCATAGGTTAGGCCATAGGGTAGGCCACAGGGAAGGTCATGGCTTAATCCACGTTTTATCCACACCCGAGAAAAGGTTTACTGTTGCGTTACACAGCGTTACTATTGAATACTCAATTGTGTTGTAAATCTACTCTCCTAAGTAAAAGCAAACTAGCTAATCGCGGGTGTTATATGGTAAGTCTACTATCTTGATCATTGAATGAAGGACAGTTGAATTAGAGAAATTAAAGGAGTCAATTGACCAATGAATAACTCTACAATACACACGGCGACACGCCGGGTAAGCCGGAAAGCAAAAGGCAGTCGATCGTGAATAGGTGTGGATAGGCTTGTGCGACTCCTGCCATTCACTTGCGCTTTTAAATCTTCTGAACTGAAGGCCCAGCTGCTATTAGGATATCATTTAACGACTTTCGTTTGCGATGTGATGATAAGGGTTAGTTGAAAGGTGTAATTTCCCCATCTGTATGTTCTCGAGGTTTCGCAAAGCCGCGCAGGAGCGCAAACACTTTTTTTAACTTTCGAAGGAAAGGCAACAGACAGTGAATCCCCATTACGTTCCACGTTTATTCACGCTGTCTTGCTGTCACCAAAGGTGTTTTAAGATCCGAGGAGGGCGGATGTCTACGACAGCTGTCATGACCGAGGGGGGACTGGGAAGAGGTTGCCGTCGCAAGGCGCGAAAAATCCTTAAGAGACCAAGTCGAAGGCGCGGGCGGCATTGTTTACATATTTTCGATTTTATCTCAAATTACTTCAGTCATGGCTTCGTTTAGAGAGATTCGTAGCATTCCTCTGCAAAGTTTTGATGATGGCGATATATCAGAGGACGAGTTCCTTTTTCTTTATTACGTTAACACATCCAAAAACCCACATTTTCCTTATGAAAGTTATGGGAAACTTGACCTTAATGATATGGATGACAGTGAGTGTTTATCCGAGTTTCGTTTTCGTAAGAGTGACCTGCATCAAATCCTGATGTTGCTTTTTGGACTGCTCCTCCTTATTACTTTCAGCCTCTAATCGCTGCTTCCGTAGCTGCATTTCGTCCATTTTCCATTTCTGCATGAGGTCGTTCTTTCCTCGCAAATATGCCTCCGCGTCACTACCACTTCTTCGACGTTTTGCTCTTGGTGCTGTGTCATTCTCTACCTCATCTTTCCTTTGTCTTTTCTGTGTCCCGCCAAGGTTCTCTAGAGCTCTGTATCTCATTTCCGCTGCTTTGGCATTATCGAATTTCTTTTTGTCATTTTGCGCTGTTTCTTCAAACACAGCTTCTTTTTCTACTATCTCCTCAAGTGCTTTTTCAACGTCACTCAGATCTGTATCTATTCCACTTGCCTTTCCTTCATTTCGCATTTTTGTTCTAAATTTGTCGCTCAAAAGCGTATATCGTTCTCTGATAGATCGCTTCGTCACTCTGAACTGGTGATGTTGAAGGCTGTTGAGATTGTTCGCTATTTTATCCCAAATTTGGCCCCTTGCAATGCTTCCTTTCTTTGCCTTGAATGGTTCAAGAACGAGAATCTCCTGACAAATAATATTGTCATGTTGTTCAGTCCACTCCATGTTGGTTCTAAAGATAAAAATAAAATGTTAACGCTTATTTTCTTTTTGTTTGTGTTGCATGTTGTTTGTCTTTTTTTTTTTTACTGCAAGCAGAACCCTTTTTTGTTCACCAAACATGCAAGACACTTTAACAAAAACAAATAATGGAGAGATTATCATTTAATTAGCGTAATTCGTTTTGAGTTTCACCACATTCATTGTTAAAAACAGGAAAAAAAGAGAATAAGAGAACTTACTGAGCAATCGTCTTGGCACTCGTGTCGGCTGCAGCCATGACCTGTTTAGTGGAGAAGAAAAAAACATGTCTTTTCTCGAAAATCAGGTCCTAGAAGAGTAGGCAAACGAATTTAAAATATTATTGACTCCATCATCATCATCATCATCATCATCATCAGGTCGAGCTTGCTCGGTATTCCATGACACGCTCCTTCCACCTTTCTCTGTCTTCCATTGCAATTGGTAGTTCTTCCATTCTGCATCCTGTGTCATCAATCAATTGGTCAATGTAGGTCTTTTTTGGGCGTCCTCTCGGCTGATGTCCATGTGTTGGCTTCCAGAGTAATATATCCCCTGCTAGTTCTTCTCTACTGCGCCAACAATGTCCTACGAATCTCACCCTTTGTTGCTGTAACGATTTACTGATTGGCGGGATGTGGCCGTAGAGCTCTACGTTTGTAAGGTGGTCCTTCCATGATCTGTTTATGGCAGTGCATAACATTCCAGTGTATGCTCCGTCGATTTTCTTTTCCAGATGTGTTGTTAAGGTCCAGGAGACTGAACCATATAAAAGGACGGTCTCCACTGCTGCTCGAAAGAAGTTTCTCTTCCGGTTGTCTGTGAGGTTTGATTTCCATATCTTTT